GTAAAAGAAATCGACACATTTACAAAGGCCGACGCTTTAGAAGTGTGTGGTTAGTGGCTACAAGCTATTGATAAAATATACTCATTTCCAAAATGCTAAAAAAAAGTGCATGTGTAGTTAGTAACTTAATAGTATGAATTTTTAGTATTTCATACTGTAGTATTATTTCAACATTTATCATACAATGATACCCAAAAAAAAAAACCATTTATCACATTTTCCCAAAAACCAACGCTTGAACAAGTGTCTGGTTAGTGGATTTACTAGCCAACCGTTCATCTTTTTCCTTTTTTTTTTTTTCTCTCGACCATAGAAGTTCGCCCTAGCCGCCGAAGAAAGTTACTACCGTTTTGACTCTCTCCGGTTTCCGGTGCTCCTCATCGGAGCCGTGAGAGAGTCCGTCTCTGCGCTTTACTTGTTTTTCTCCTTTGTTTTCGGCCAGTAGCAACCCCTCAGTCGGATATGTCTTGCGTTGGTGTTCTTATGATTCAGATTGGTTCTTCTCTGTTTGTCGGACAGATCCTCCATGTGCGCCGGTCTCTTTCGGTTCAGAATAGATCTTCGCGTCATCATCTGGTTTCAGTGGTGGCTGGAGGTTCCTGTAATCGATTGGTGTTAGGCGGATCTTTGGATTCGTCTTCGGCTGAATCGATGTTGCCTTCTATCTGGTAATATCGTCCTTCGTCTCTTCTATCTTTGGGGTTGTTGTGTTTGGTCCGTTTTGGCTGTTGGTGGGGTTTTAATCTTAGGCTTAGGCTCGTTCTTTACTGGTTTGGATAGTTTAGACTCTTAGTCGACGGTTTGCTCATGCGGAGGTTTGTGTGATCCGGTCTTCGGTTAGGCTGTCTCGCTTCCTTGTTGTTGTTAGCCCGAAGCATTAGTTAGCCCGGTTGACTTGTTTTTGCGGAATGTGTCTTGGATTTTGCTGGTGGTTTGTCTCTGCTTTGCCTTTCCATGGTGTCTCTGGGCTGAGTTTTCATTCGGTTTCCTCATCTTACAATTCGCGGATAGTTCAGCTCACCCACTTGTTTGGGTTTCCTCCGGTTTTGTTAGAAGGTTGGTTTAGTCGTCTTCGTTTCGCGGTTCAGCAGGATCCTCTCAGTTTAGTTAGTCGTGTGATCTTGGACTGAAAGAGTTGAGCATGTGCGTTCTTCTTCCTTCGTCAAATTCTATGTCAGGTTTCTCGATTCGATTTCTGTATCTTGCCATGTTCGTCGTTCTCATGTTTGGGCTTAATTGAGACTAAGCTTTTAGCGGTTCCACCTATTTCCGTAGATTGTAATTTCCCTCGTTTGGGCTTAAGTTTCCCTCGTTTGGGCTTTGTTATGTTTGTCCGCCTCTTTTGGCCTTAAGTTTCTGGGGGTTTCTATGTACCTGCCGGCTTTGTCTCCGAAAGGATTTCGTTCCTTGTCGGCTTTGTATAACTCAATCGCATTCTATCAATGAAATCCTTTAGACGAAAAAAAAAAGGTGGATTTACTAGCCTAGTGATAATAATATACTCATTTCCAATAAAGAGAGTTAGTGAATACTACGTACACCCTACTGGTGATATTGAAACTACCTATTATTAACGATCCATTATGCTATGTAAATTATTGGTGCCAACTAACTATATTAAACAAAAAGAAATAAGAAAAGAAAAAGAAAAAAAAACCCAACTATTTTTAATGATCAATTAAGGTTCTATGAAAAGTCTCCACGTTAACATTTTGGATCGAGCATTAATCACAACTTTTCTTGTTCGCATTTCTAAAACCCAGCAATCAATGTCGTCCTTTAATGGGTATGTGTAAGTATAACAAGTGTGGAAATAAAGTTGTAGGAAATAGAATCACTTGTTTTGAGTCTTTCGACGAAACCGTTGGATGGTGATAGCACTTTTTCATCAAATCGGATATATTTTCAATCAACCTATCAAAGTAAATAGCAGAATCGATTGATTCAATTACATATTTTAAAACCACTTTGGCTTATTCGAATAGGCATCAAACTTGGATCCTAGCTAGGAGACTATTAGAATGTTCCACATTGTTTGGGATTAAGATCTTTGGGTAGTATATAAAGGATGTGGCAATCCTTAACTCTTGAGCTAGCTTAGCTTTTGAGTTAAGTTAGGCCACATTCATAATATGGTATCAGAGCCTAAGGTTGGCCCAACAAGCAAATTCCCACAAAAATAGATTTCCACCTATGTGGCCCATATAAGAGGCATGTCTTGTTGTATTTCCGAAGTGTTGGGATTGGGCTGTTTCCCGTTTGACCGTTTCCCACCCACATCTCGAAAAGACCTATTAGAATGTTCCACATTGCTTGGGATTAAAATCTTTGGATAGTATATAAAAGATGTGGCAATCCTTAACTCTTGAGATAGCTTTTGGGTTAAGTTAGCCAACATTCCTAATAGAGACTAACAGAAGATCAAACCGACTTAAATTATCGACTATTTAATCTCATACGTAATAGAATCAGAAAAAGGTATATGCGAAAGTGATTAAATATGAATATATATATATACATTAATCTCTCTTTATATAATTACATATTCATATTTCAATTATTTTGAATATATACATATATATATAAATCTAAAAGTTTTAATTATGGTATATGCGAAAAAATATAAACTTTTCGTTAGTAGAATGAAAAAACTGATTATTCTTATAGAAGTATTGAAAAAATCAAATGGAAAACGACTGTAAAGAGAGGTTGAAATTTTATAGTTTTCAATCTCATCAACTAATTATCTACTCTCTTATATATTATATATAAATACTAATTATCTACTTTATCTTTTACTAGAAAGTCATTCTCTTAATTATAATTGTTTATAGTTTATATAACATATTTTCACTTGTCAAAATACTGTGTGAAAAATATAAAAAAATGAAGTTGGACACTGAGTCCTAGTAGGACCGATAATAATTTAGTTGTTTATTTTTTTTTTCGCCTGTATACTTTGAACAGAGAAAAATGTCAAGTGAGATGAAGCTAACCTTGAAAAATAAAAATTGCTAGTATTTATTGTTACGTCATGGACTTTTGAAATGTCAAAAGTCAATAATGTGGCACTACCACACAGTGCCAACTGCAAAGATCGGGCAATGACTTAGTGACGACCCACATGCTTATGCATTATTTAAAAATATATACTGTATCAACCTCTTTAAATCGACTATCAGATAAAAAGTTGAGAGAATTAAAGAGAAAGATAATTAGATGGCCATGGCCCGGTTGATTACGTAGTGTACATGATCACAAAATACTTGCAACTTGTTTTTTTTTTTTTTTCTTTCTTGCAACTTGTTTTTAATTTGTAAGAAAACTACAACTTGTTCAATAGATTTATCGTTCATTTTGTGGAAGCAACCCTCGCGACACTTATATTTGGACGAAGAACTAAAATTAACGTGTAATACTTTATATTGTCTTTTTGAAAACAAATTTTCAGATAATTTTTTGTTAGCTCAAAAATGAATAAATTTTTCATGTTTTACCTAGATTCACAAGAACAAGTGACTTCCATCTGAAGAGTTCAAGAAATAACAGATTTTTTCTCAACATTTACGGTAATTTCCATCTGAATCTCCATTATAACACGCACGCACGTCTACCAAAAACGTCACGTACACAAAATCTGATAGGACAAATGTAATATTCCCTTTGTATTATATTATAAGTCGTTTTAACTAAAAACATGTAGATTAAAAATATTTATTTTTAAAAAATTTAACCAATTATAAAAGAAACTGAAGGATATAAATAATTATAAAATATTATATTAATATATAATTTGCATAAAAATTTATAAACGATTTATATTGTGAAATAAAAAAGTTTACCCAAAACGATATATATTATGATACGAAAAGAGTATTGTTGATGAACAGATGGGAGAATATACTATTTTAACTTTTAACTAGTAGTGTTTTAATTTCTAATCACTTTATTTGTATAGAAACAGTGAAACACTATCTTGGAAAGGCAAATAAACTTTTTAAAAATATTAAATAATGAAACAAATCTCAGCTTTTACTTTATTTTGTTTTCGGCATGGTGCTTTCAAATATAAAGGTTTGGAATGATAATGCACAATTCTTCTTATCTTTAATCCTCGGAACATTCAAAGAATGATCCTCTCGCTTGCTTTGTGTGGGTCTTATGGCTGATTATTAGTATACTAAATTACTAATACCATATTGATAGGGTGGAATATATATATTATATATACATTAGAGAATGACATATTTAAGTCATACTTCTTTTGTTGTATAATGTAAGTCGTTTTATCTAAAAACACGTATATTAAAAATATTTATTTTAAAAAAATTCAATCAATCATAAAAAAACTGCCTAATATAAACAGTTATAAAATATTAAAACAATATATAATTTACATAGAAACTTGAAAACGACTTATATTGTGAAACAAAATTTTTTTTTCCAAAATGATTTATATTATGAAACACAAAGAGTAATATAATAAGTTAATCGTTGAAATTTTTTTATCTACAAAACTGATAAAGGATATAATTCTTTATCTTCAAAATCAAAATCGAAAATTCTTTGACCTTCAACGTTTTGGTTGAGTGAACGTACCAAATTCTAATTATAAATTACACTTCCATATTTTAATTTTTTTTGCCATAAAACCATTTCTAAAAATTTTTAGTTCATCAATTGTAAATTCAAACCGTTTTTATTTTATAATAATCTTTACATTCTTAACAAAAAAAATACTATAATTCTTTATCAAACATGCTCGATACATTAGCACTCTCCCATGACATGAGCCTCAAAAGTAATAGTGGAGCACAACACATTAAAATTAAGAATGTAGAATTTAAAATCCTGAAATTAATTTTTGTATGTGTTAATGTTTTGTTTGTTTCTTTTTTTTTGGTGAGTTTGTTTGTTCTTTTTTTCATGGGTTTATTTAAAAAACTCGTTAAATTTTTTATTACATCACCATTTATCATCCGACTTAGAAAACCAAAAAAGGAAGAAAAAAAACACACACAAAAACACATGCATATATGACAACACTAGCTATAGGCATGCATACATGGTTCATCACCATCATCATCATTATTTTTTTATTATCATCATCATTAAGGTAACATAGCCATAGACATATAGTATATCTTTATATGTGATCATATTGACATGATTAGGTGGGATTGATCGACCAGGAGATTCTCTCATCCAAAATAGTTATCAATCTCGTCAAACATATCTCGACGTTCATAGACCGGCGGCACATCAACGACGTCATTTTCATCCTCATAAAGAAACCTAGTAAGTTCTTTCATGAACGCAGTGTTGTCAACACAAGATTCCTCCAACATCATGAAATCTTCATCATTCAGAAATGTCGGGAACCCGATAGTATTCTCATCATCAACGTTATTATTACCAACGAAATTATCGCAGTACATTAGAGGATTGTTAACGGAGGCATCAGAGAACGTGGACGAAGAAGACGTCGGATTAAGGTTACCATCAACGTTAAAGTTCGATGACACAGGTGTTGTTGCAACGGTCCCATGGCAGAGAAGATTCGAGGTTGGTGCGAAGGAAGAACTCGTTGACTTATCTGATTCAGAGTCAACGGAAACACTTGTAGTAGTAGTAGTAGTAGTGTGACTAGTAGTAGCAAGTGGGCCTCCACTTCCGATAATATCAGACAGAACACTCTGATTGATTCTCTTTCCGAACCTATTAGCTACTCTGTTCAAGAACCTAGCCGATGATAATCCGGAATTCTTGTTGTTCTTCTTCGCCTTGTCATTATCAAGATCATCGTCACTAGTTGTCTGATTAACGTTTTGTTTCTCCGGGAGGTTTTCTGATTTGTCGGTATCGGAGTTTAAGCCCTTGTGTGTAACCGGATCAATACCTTTCTTAATCAAACGTTTCTTGATATGAGTGTTCCAGTAGTTCTTGATCTCGTTATCGGTTCTTCCTGGTAATCCACGAGCTATAGCGGACCATCTGATTAAAACCACACGATAACAACATTAGTAATTTAAGCACAACCATTTAAGTTATATAACTGTTAATGCAAACGAAAATGGACAAAACACATATAAATGTAGAGCTAGTGACTAACTTGTTGCCGTGAAGGGCGTGAAGAGAGATGATAGAACATTCTTCGTCTTCAGTGAACTCTCCTCTTTTGATGTCAGGTCTAAGATAATTGGCCCATCTCAGTCTGCAGCTTTTGCCGCACCTCTTGAGTCCTAACCAATTAGAGAAATAACTTTTAGTTCAATAATTGAGCAATAATGACCAATTAAAGGTCCAACATTGAATATTCCAAAATGACGGAATAAAAATAATATAAAATAAGATATACCAGCTTTTTCGGGGAGAGTTCGCCATCCACCTTCACCGTGACGGTTGAGGTAAGAGAGAAGCTTCTGATCTTCCTCGGGAGTCCAAGCTCCTTTCTTTAACCCTAATTCAGCTTTGCAACACGGTGTCCGCACCATTCTTGATTCTTCAAAGAAACTCAGGCTTCTTGATCGAGTTCAAAGGGGGTTGTTCTCAAGTACAAACAGAGAACAAAGATGGAAAAAAAAATTGAAAACCTGAAGGGTGAAACAAAGTGAGAAATGGGGCGAATGATCATAGAGATTGAGCACAGGATCTTTTGATTAGAGAATTCAAACATCTGTAGATTCTTCGAATAGACATCTTGTTCTTTTGCGTACTCGAGATCGAGGAGAAGAGAGAGAGAGAGAGAGATCTAGTTGCTCTGTTTTCTTACCACAAAGAGAGGGATTTTATAGAGAGAATCTTTTTTTCTCGATAAGGAACAGTTTGTGTTGCACTTGGCAAAGTGAGAAACTTACAGGAAAGGGCGCATCTTTATTTATGCTTGCTTATGGCTGCAGCTAACGTCGTCGTTTTATTATGCAAAATTTGATCTCTTTTTTTGACCTCAGTTTTATAATCTGATTATTACATAAAACCGCTAACTTTTGTCACTGGAAATTTTTTTGACACTAGACATTTATCTTTCTTAGAGTAATTTATTTTATTATGTAAATTGTCAATAAAGTATTAGAATTAATTACGGATTTTGCACTTTTTTATAATGGCATTTATGGATTTTACCCTTTTTTGAATAATTTATGGATTTTGTCCTTTTTTAGGCTCCAAAAATATGATTTAACATGCGTTTCATTCGTTATGTTTGAGTTTAGTCGGTTCCAGTTGTTCTTAAGGTTTAGTATTTGATATAATGTACGTATTTTTGTAAAAAAAAATCATAAATACGTACATTTTTAAGTGTTAAAAAGGGCAAAATCTATAAATTATTCAAAAAAGGGCAAAATCCATAAATGCCATTATAAAAAAAGGCAAAATTCGTAATAATCCCGTAAGTATTACTAGATTTTAACCCGCGGTACACCGCGGGGCTATGTTTTCTTAAAAAAATCAAAATGTAATTTGTTTGATAGATTATTTTGATTGTTAATTTTAGGATTTCACCCGTGGTATACTATCTTTTATAAATATCAACCCAAACCCGTCCCATCATATTACCCGTCCTGTGAAATTAAACATCATTTAGTTATTTTTCTTTTTAATAATACTTTTATTTAAAAGCTATATAATTCAAGTCAATTTAAAAATTTCTTTTAAATGGTTCCCATAAGATATATATACATATAAATTAAATTTGTATAGAGTTGAAATAATATTAATATTACAAACTTTTTATATAATTTAAATATTATAAATATTTTTAAAAATATGCAATATATATTTTTTGTTATTGAATAAGAGGATATTATGTGTAAGAAATGTAGAAAATAAGAGTTTAATATTTTTATTATGGAGTCGCAAGAAAAATCTTTTATTTCTATACATGTTATTCGTTTATTAATAATAAAAGAAAACAAATCCTTTAAATTAGATATTAACTAAAATAAACGCACCATAATTACTTATTAAGTAACAACCAATAAATTTCACCAAAAAATAGGTAACAACCAATAAATTCTAAACGCAGTAATTAAAGAATGAGATATATAAAAAAAAATATCAAATAAGATATAAGAATCTTAAAATAATTGAATATCTAAATAATTTAATTGTTAGTGTCGATTTAAATGCCTTCATTAATGTGGATTTTTTTTTTTACAGAGAAATATTTCCTAAAGATTATCACATTAATGACTCAGAAAATTAAGGAAGATATGAATTTATGATTCTCGAAATCGTATTGGTAATATCTTTAATTAATATTTTTCAAATTTAAATAATTAATGCCAATGACATTCATCCATAAATACATTCCAACTCCAGGATTTATTTGTTAAAAGTCATCCAAAAATGTATATATAGATACTAGGAAGACAGCTATTATATACTATATTATCCTTCCCATTGATCCCATGCACAAAGACCGCCACATCTAATATTAAATTGATACTGTAGTAGCGAAAGGTTCCTAGAAACAAAATATTTCAAGCATGCAAAAAGAATATTAATAACGTAAATTGTCGTGCCTGTGTAAATAGCTAATTAGTAATTACCAATCTATTTTTGAAATCCATAACTGGCTATGCAAATATTTTTACTTGTTTCATGCCACAATCTAAATTCATTCGTCGACAGAATATAAAATCTAATGCAAGATTAGAATACGGCGCCGGCAGGTTTGGAACACCAATTCCTGTTGAAGTTTCTCTTTAGATCTTTGGAGATATTTTGTATTGACCGAATTCTTGACTAAAAAAAGGAATTATTGACCCGGCCAATACGTCGGTCCAATCAATGATGAACTATAACGTACGTTTCACCATTGGAAAAAAATTAAAATTTTACAATGAGTAACAAAAAAGTTTAGTCGAAATGGGCACAAATTTAACCAATATAGATTAAATTTATCAAAAGAGTAAAAAAAAAAAAAAGGTCTATCGAAATGGGGCAACAAAGGTACGACGTGTCCATGTCAGAATGAATTCAAATGTAAAAATTGGAGTGCGAGACTTTTCTAAATACGACTGGAGCTCTTAGCAATTTTTTTTCTCTCAAATATTTAAATATGCTTAAACAATCATAAAGACGACAAAGTTTAAAAGAAACAATAGGAAAACGAACACACGAACTGAAAATTCGAGGAAGATAAGGTAGAGAGGGTAGTAGTAGATGTACACAAAAGTAGGCGTATTTGAATTAGATTAAATTAAGCAACAACTTGGCCACTCAAACACTGGACTCGGACATATCGATATCCATCATTCCAAGGAAAAATCTAAGGAACAAAGAAAGAGATCGATAAGCTATTTTCTTTTCATCGTACAACTAATTTCCACTATTTTATTTAGACAGAACCCATTAATTAGGGCCTGACTGGTTTAAACGCAGCGGTTGCGGTTGCGGTTGCGGTTGCGGGAGTTTGCGGAAGCGGGTGGTTGCGGCTTCAAGCGTTATCAAGCGTTTTGAAAGACTGGTTTAGCATTTGAAAATAGGTGCGTTTGCGGGAGTTTTATGACTGGTAAACCAGCGGGTGCAGTAGCAATTAAATAAAAAAATGACCAAAATAAATAAAAAATATTACAAAAAAAAGAAATAAAAACACCAATATATTATTATGATAATATTAGAAAAATTGAACATGCTTAATAATTAAAACCATAAATAAAGTACTAAATAATTATTCAAAAATAAAGAAATTTTGTAACAAGATAGTACTTTATGCATTTGGTTTAACATCAAAAATTGTATCAAGTAATGGGACAAACTGTAAATAACGTTGAATTCAATCAAAAAGCAAGTGAGTTTCTATTTGAGAAAACAAATCGAAACATATATTCAATCAAAAAGCAAAGCAATATGTAATGAAAAGAAAAAGAACGATGCCATAAAAAATATTCAAAAAGTTACACATGAGGTGATGAATGAATAAAAGGATATATGATACTTACGTTTGGTTATTGATTTTCATCAGTTTGAGTGGAAGAGATCGAGAGAATAGGGTTTCAGAATATTATTAGGGTTTCTGATGAGAACGTGATACAAAGATGTAAGATATATATAGGATTAATATATATTATAATAATTATAAGTAAATGTTTGGTTTTTTTTTTTAAATCTAACCGCAAACGCTTGCAGGAAGGAGCTTTTGAAATTCAGCGATTTCGAGCGATTCGAAGCGGTACAGAGCGGTTTCTATGATTGGTACCAACCGCTAACAACCGTAACCGACCGCTAACAACCGCTAGGAGGGTGCTAGCGGGAGAACCAATCAAGCCCTTAGTCAACATTGTGTTTTTTTTCCCCTCTAACATGATATGAAAGGCACATACGGTTGTGAAGAAAGCTAACCAGCTTGGTTTACATCAAACCAACTCAAAACACAAAAAAGGTCTTTACAAATTACAAAATTACATACAATTCAATGATTCATGCTAAAAGTACGACAACTAAATTATAGTAGTTCATTAGTACAAATACTAAAAAATAATCTTCACCTATGTTGACTCTTTTCTAAACCTCCAGCAGAATTATCAGCAGCCACGTTAGCAGCTAACTCCATTAGCCGTTCATAGTCAATCTCACTACACTTGTACTTCAGTTTCATACCAGCTTCAATCCATGATCTGATACAAATAACAGATTGTGTGCTATCATGAGGCATGCAATACCTTTGCTTATCAATCTCTTCTCCTTTACCGCAAAATATCTCTTCCGGTGCAGCGGAAGTCGCCTGAACCGCAAGGAAATCCCGAGCCATGTTGGAAAGTCGCGGGTATCTTCCACTGTTTACCTTCCACCAATCTAACACATCGGTCTGCATCGGAGCTATAGACTCTGATAAGTACTGAGTCAGTTCATCAACAACATTATTACTCATACTTCCTCTTCTTTTCCTTCTAGCGATTTCCTCTGCAAATGAGATATTTCCTCCTCCTCCTGCTCCTCCTTCGTCTATTTCCTGAGGACGGTACCCACTAGACATGGAAGATGTAAAATGAGTAGAAGAATAGTTACGTATGAAATGGTTTCTTGCTTCATCTATATAGCTCTCGAGATTTATCGTCTCTGGAATGTACTCTGTTTTGATCCGCGGGTCAAGAATGGCTGTGATGTAAGTGAACACGTTGCACACTTGAGTGTTGTAACTTCTGGCCTTCTGGGCCATGCTTTCAGCACAACTTCTTAGCCAGTCTGGGTTGTGGCATGATTTCTGGCAAGTTGTGATCATCTCAGATATGTTATCCATGAAGAGCAGTGCTAGACCAACTGTGAGATCCTTGTTCGTGCACATATCGTTAGTGGTCCTGTGGAATGAATCCAAATCCAAGTAATTGTGGACAATAGTCACCGCGTTCTTCTCTACAGAACTCAACATCATTCTGTTCTCTAGAACATCCTCGTTTTTCCTAATCACAGAGTCCAAGGACTTGCTAGCCTGCACCAATCTAAGCCATCACATACAAATATCTCAGAAATTAATGGC